AGATGGCTGGCAAATTTAATTTTTATTCACAAAATCAACATAGCCTCGGAACCCCATTTTGTTAGCAAAGATCCCATGTTTTAATCATTTATAGTTTTTGATTTTTTTTTAAAAACTTTTTTCGACTCGTTCTAGATTTGAACGGATCCCATCTGATAAAAAATATTTACTACAACGTACAAATTTGATTCTTAGCACAAATTAGCCAATCGTACGAATTCTTACCACAAAAAACCGGATCAACCAAAATTTCTTTTATTACTTGGGTGACCCATTGCAGATTACGGGATTTCTTGGATTGGGATTTTTGTGACGGGTCGGAACACTAATCTGGTATTTATTGCACTGCTATTATGGATGCTATACTGTAGGCGTTTAGATGCTTGTGAATACTTTCATTAGTGATCGCACCCCAAGGTATTGCAATCGGTTAACTGTTAAGTTATCCGGATAATAATAACCGGATTATAAAATCCTGGTTAATTTATAAAATATAGTTACAATAATATGTTGTATACCAAATTAATATCTGCGTCAGATTAAACATTAATTAGATGCAAATCTTAATCTGATACCAAATAAGCTTTATAAATGCCGTAGGTGTTATAGTGTTACGTATATTGTAATATATCTACGAAATGAACTTGTCTGTAAAAATAAGTTTGTTGGTGCCGGTGAAATATGTTGGCATTGAAGTAATCAGCAATAATAACTCAAATGACAAAACTAGATGATGAAAATTAACAGTATATTGAAAAGATAAGTTAATTTGTCTAGACAAATAAATGTTTTTTACCAATAATATTTACGTATTATAGCTCAAAAATAAGTGAATAATTGCTAAAGCAAGGTTGGTCCTACACGATTATAGCTTAAAAGCACTAAATTAAGGTTCCATGAATGTGTAGTTATCAATTTAAACCACCATATGACGTAGAATCGTGATCTATATATTAAAGTAGTGCAAAGCTACTTGATCAATAGCATTAACACTATTAGCATTTAAGCTAAAGCATTGAGATCAAATTTTAGTAACCCGATATAAACATAAATCCCTATAAAAAAGTCAATCCGTGTTTTCTTATGGTTTTTACAGAAAATAAGGAATATGATGGAAATTTTCGAATAAACATTTTATAGGGAATAAGGTTGGTTAAGATAATAAATATCGCAAAATATAGAGTGCTCTTAGTAAAGGTAGATTGGCCAATAATCTACGTAGATCAGCTAATCACATGATATCCGGATATTATACTTTTTCCGTACCCTAATACTAATACTAAGATATGATAACTGGTTAACCACTAGGTTACCCAAAATGTGACTTCAATCCTATTTTTTCTTGGCGTCATTCATATGATATTTATATCAGGTATATTAATCATGATATATTAATCATGAAACAAGATAAAGCAGACGAGAATAGTTTTCGAATACGTAGAAAAAAAATGCAACTAATTGCATTTAATTAATATGCTAAATAAATCTTGCTTCACTGGCAATCATACTACCGATAGCCGACAATCATATGCTATGGTTTCACTTGGCGTGATGCCGACTAAAATGAGCTGTTGGTGAAGTAAGGAACCGCTAATTACAGTGCGATTGGAAATTCTCCTAATAAGGCCTAAGCAAATGTCCAAATTAGATTCTACTGTATAAAAAATTGTATATGTACAATCGTTATTCATAATGTAGTCATATAAAAATAATGCAGATGCAAAGCGAAAATGCTTTGTAGAAGGTTATATCAAGTTTTATAATTTAATAAATAAATTAAAAGTCCAGGCGCATTTTTTATAGAGGTTATATTATCCTTTTATTTCGATAGGGTATAAAACCGGTGATCAGATTTTATTAAAGGTTATAACCTTTCGGGTAAAAAGTTAACCAGGTATGACCACTACAATAGGATATAAACCCGGTTATTAGATTTCATTAAAGGTTATACCCTTTCGGGTAAAGAGTTATCTGGGCACGATCACTAACTCTCATTGCTACTAAGCTACAGTGCATACAAAGTTCTTATGTAAATTCTCGAAATAGCGGGTATGGGCGTTATTTCTAAATTGTGTCCTATAAAAATAGCATTACTTAGAAATAACGCCCATGCGCGTCACCCAAAACGCGTACAATCAAATTTTGAGATCGACCTTTTTACTTCTATAGCTATTGCCCTTTTTAATCATAAAATTGATAAATAAACAACTTGAATAAGGGTAGAATAAAAGAGCTAGTCCTTTATTTCAAGATGAGCAATAACCAACAAAAAGATAAACACTTTATATACGGGTACATCAATTTTTATAAATTATTCCTCAACCAATTATCATTTTTTTTTCCTTTTTTCTATGTGCTATTCATATGCAAACATAAAGTTACTATAATCGTCAACAATTTTTCAAAGATTGAAATGAAAGAAATAAAGTATTCTAAGCGATGTTGTAAAGAAATAATAAAAACAATAAAATTTTTTTCTAAAAATACTTATATTAAACTTGACGTACATTACATTTTAATCGATATAAATTTTAAACTCTCGACGTCCGACGGCCATTTTAACATAAAATGCAGCCGTAATTTATTGACCAATCAAAATAGTTATCGCATGTAAAATCATTATTTCGACTAGACCAGTCGTCCTACATCGGGATCAGCTTAGCATAATATTATCATTATCGTTATGCTAAGCTTTCAAAATCTGTGCCGTTCACTAAATCAAAAGAACATAAACGTGAAAGCTTTTATTTAGTTAATATTTGAGAATTTTATGTTACACTTGATCTTGTGATTTTATTGGATACAGCAATAATCGACTACGTATAACCTTGCACAGACTTCGGATGTGTCGTTCAGAAGATCTTAAAAATATCTTCAAAGGAATTGTGATCTTGGGAAAGAATTACACAAATCACACAATGAAATAGATTATCTTGACCAACTTTGATCGGCTCCGATATCACGGGACCGAGTAATTTTTCTGGACAGGCTTTATTTCGTAAGTGCCCGAAATAACACGATAACATACATCAGGAGAAAAGAATAAAAAATATGCTGTACATTATAAAATGATGACTGCATTATATGCGTTCTCATAAAAAAAATGTGATAAAGATAATGTGACTTCTTAATTAATAAATAACTATTCCTATACTATCCGAATTAATTTAATACCTAAGGAAATAAAATTAAAAATTCCACTAAATTACTACTTATAAAGTGTCAGCAAATCTCAAATATTAAAATTCTAAGTTAAACACAGCATCAACACTCTTTCCATTTTGGTTTTTACAATATGCTCGAATTTCCATTTGCCCAAATGATAAAGTAAATTCCAATTTTCGATTAAATCCTAAGTGCGCGTCTGGGAAATCCAATATCAATTCTCCTAGTTTTTCCATTCCCGGTTCATCAGGATATTTTCCATCAACTGCAGGGGTTTTGTAAATTTTCATACTCGCTGCTGATTGATCTTCTATACTTGGGAATAAATCTTTACCAAAACCTTGATCTACATCAACTATTGTTCCACGAGAAACAAGTTTACTAAAAACATTGATACGTCCATGAGAAATCTTACGTTCCGGTGGATCTCCTTTCTTCCATTGTGGCGATAATTCAATGCCATAGGTCCATTTTAGAACTCTAGTTTTAATAGTTTTCATGTTCAGTCCGTAGTCCAATGCACCTCTGTAATACAATCAGTCATGGAATTAGTGGATAATGGCAAAAAATTTACTTTTCAGAATTTTATAAACTTTATAGGTACCTTACGATCGCAGCAATCTATCAGGAATTTAAGTTTGAAAAAGATGTAACATGTATTTAATTAATATATATATTTAATTAATATTTATCAATAAACTTCAGTGAACTTTTTCATAATTAAGAAAAAAAAAATCTTTACCGGTTGCTTTGGAACATTAATATTCTTGACCTGATCTCCAAACTCTTGTTTAATTCTCGTCTGAAGATACTTAGACTCACTAAACCCGCCAACCAAAAACATTGCAGCGCAAGTTCCTGTGCTGGCATTAAGTTGCCCATTAATCAACCTAATGATCTTGCCTACTACTGGATCAAACATACTTTTAACGTCTTCATATTCTAAATCAATTATCCAGTCATCTTTCTCTAATTTTACTTTTGAAGTTCCGGCTACATATTGTTTCAGTACTGGGCATACTTCTTCGATATCAAGTTCGTAGGTTTTAAAATCTTTCCTATTACCAGTAAATGGTAATTTGACACGGCGACAGAATTCCTGTACCATATATTGTAATTGACCGTAGTGATTTTCAAGTAACAGATTTATAGCTGAATCACCAACTTTTCGCCTTAAGAATTTTATAAATTCCTTATCTACATATGTCCCACCGCAGAAATCACCTGAACGTTCAGTAATTTCACCTAGCCTATTATTTTCCAATAACTCTCGAGTCGTAAGATCCACAGTACCACCACCGCAATCCACTATCATGAAAGAACCTTCATTCCAAGAAGAACGAAATATTCGACATTAAAGATACGTCGAAATATTCGACACTAAATATGTGTTGAAATATGACAGTATATAATATATATCAAAAATACTCACTGCCAACTTCAGTGATCATATGTTCCTTTAATGTTCTCATACAATATATAGCGGCAGCCTCAGCTAAAAAAAAAAAATGGATATATATATATATATATATAATATAATCAATATTTCATAATATTTCGTGATCACCACATTTGACGTAGAATAAGGATATGAAACTCACGTTCGGTAGTTAGTTGTAATGTTTCCGAGTATTGGGCTGAAATTAAGCCTATTTCGAATTTGGTATGTTGAATTAGGTTCATACTCTAGCTAGATTACTTGGTATGACCAGTTTACTTATTCCAGACGGTCATT